AAAATGTTTTGCCATGGTGACAAAGCATATCACTTTCTACTCAATCCATACAACCCATTAAACTCTACCGAGATAAGAAGTGGGTAATTAGTAATTTAGCACAGTATCAGCATTTTGTGGGAATCAAGATATAATTATAAACCATAACACAGTTTAGTATCTTGCGAAACAGGCATCTCCAACCTTGGCAACTTTAAGACTTGCAGACTTCAACTCCCAGACTTCCCCAGCCAGCCATTCTGGCTGGAGACTTCTGGGAGTTGAAGTCCACAAGTCTTAAAGTTGTCAAGGTTGGAGATCCTTGTTGTAAAACATAGCCTTTGTTTACAGAGAGGCCACAAAAAAGTATGGGTAAGGAAGTAAAAAGAATTAAATCATAAATTATGACTTTGCTTTGTCACTTTACCGTTTTTTCGCCTGGATTTCAGAGTCAAGGACCCTTCAAAGAACTGATGCAATATGCTGCAGACAGACTTTATTCTTATTTAGAGTTTCTCAGGTTTTGTAGAGGAACACAGAGATGTTCTTGGAGGAAATATGCAGAGATTTTATTATATCAAAATATGAACTCCGTCTGGAAAAACATTACAGTGAGAGCAAGGAAGTTTAAGTGGCTTTGCCTAGGCCCTCTTTAATATATAGGAAGGAAAGGGATTTCAGGATTTTGTTAATATTAATCTGTACAGACATCAGCAAAGTTCTAGTACAGGTAGTCCTTATGACCAAAATTTCTGTTGCTAAGCGAGACATTTGTTAAGTGAGCTTTGCCCCATTTTATGACCTTCCTTACAACAGTTATTAAGTCAGCAACATAATTGTTAAATGAATCTGGCTTCCCCATTGATTTTACTTGTCAGAAAATTGCAAAAGAAGATGTTCACATGACCCCAAGACATTGCAACCGTCATAAATATGAGTCAATTGCCAAGCATCTGAATTTTGATCACATGACCATCGGGATGCTGCAACGTTCATAAATGTGAAAAAATCTTCCTAAGTCACTTTTTTCAATGCCGTTGCAACTCACTAAATGAACTGTTGTAAGTCAAGGACCAGGGGTGAAATGCTCCCGGTTCAGACCGGATCACTCAATCCGGTAGCGATGGAGGTGGGTGGTTCGGAGAACCAGTAGCAAAAATCCCTGCCCCCCTCCCCATGCCCAGCTGAGCCGTGCAAATCATCAGAGGCTTTTTTTTTAATTTTTAAAAGCATTTTTTCTACAACCTCTTCCGCAGAAAAATGCTTTTAAAAGTAAAAAAAAAAAGCCTCTGATGATCACGCAGCTCAGCTGGGATCGTCAGAGGCTTTTAAAAGCATTTTTAAAAGAAAAAAAGCCTCTGCCGATCAGGCAACTCAGCTGGGATTGTCAGAGGCTTTTAAAAGCATTTTAAAAGAAGAAGAGGTTGTAGAAAAAATGCTTTTAAAACCCTCTGGCGATTCCAGCTGAGTTGCCTGATCGGCAGAGGCTTCTAAAAGCATTTTTTTCTACAACCTCTTCGGCTGAAGAGGTTGTAGAAAAAATGGTTTTAAAAGTTAAAAAAAAAAAAAGTTGGCCACGCCCACCCAGTCACATTACCCCACCCTCCCATCAAATACGCCCACAGAACCGGTAGTAACAAAATTTACATTTCACCACTGTCGAGGACTATCTCTATTCCTTGTGGCCTCTATTTCCTAACCTGGTCTACTTTGAAGGACTGCCTGATTTAAAGTATTGCTTAACCAATAAGAGAAATTCCAAGGGATTGTTTTAATCATTTTTTTATTGTAAATTCTAAGGGGGGAATAACCAACGCTTTAGAAGATAAGATTTAGAGGGATCTTGACAGATTTGAACATTGTGCTCTATCCAGCAAAATGCAATTCAGTGCTGAGAAAATTAAGGTTCTACAGTTAGGGAGGACGGGAGGGAGGGAGGGAGAGAGAGAGAGAACAAGAGAGAGAGAACAAGTAAGGAGAAATTTCCTGGCGTGAGAACAATTAATTGGTGGCATGGCTTTTCTTCAGAAGTTATGGGTGCTCCTTTACTGGAGGTTTTCAAGAAGAGATTGGACAACCATTTGTCCAGAATGGTGTAGGGCAGTGGTTCTCAACCTGTGGGTCGGGACCCCTTTGGGGGTCGAATGACCCTTTCACAGGGGTCGCCTAAGACCATCAGAAAACACATATTTTCAATGGTTTTAGGAATAATTTTATGGTTGGGGGTCACCACAACATGAGGAACTGTATTAAAGGGTCGCGGCATTAGGAAGGTTGAGAACCACTGGTGTAGGGTCTCCTGCTCGAGCAGGGGATTGGACTAGAAGACCTCCAAGGTCCATTCCAACTCTGTTATTCTTAAAAAGTTAACATTTGGCTCAAAAAGTTATCCTGTTTGACAATCTTCTACCCCAAGGAAGCTGATCAAAATATTTTTAGTAAACAGAGAATCTCATAAGCATTTCTCCCCCTTAAGCTGCAAAACATAACAAAATATGTTGTAAAGCTAAGCATTTCTGCTCTTTTATATCATCTAAATTCTATGCAACTGCATAGATCAGCCTGTCTCACCATACTAATCTCTGTGTATGCTTTAGCTCAGCGGCAGAGAATGTGTTTGCCTAGAGAAGATCAGAGGAAACCTTGGAGAAACATTTTAATGATCTGTCAGTAGATGAACCAACGATTAGACTTTGTGGCTTAATTGGATCATGGGGTGTGGGTGGTTATCCTGTCAGGAGGCAGACTTCAAATTAATTCTCCCAGATCACTTATGTCCTATAGGCTGGCCAAGATAATTGGTGGAAGTATATTCTTCCTATCTAGTAAGTGGAACTAGGCTAACTCCAGAAAACTGAGTTTTCCACATTCTCATAACACACTAAGCCACAATCAATGAGTCAATAAATAGCCAAACAAACAAAATTAAAACCAACAAAGCTTAGTATGCTATGTGGATGCAGCTATTAGGTCCTTAATAGATTGGGTTAAGTTTTTATTAATTTATTGTATATCCCATCTTTATTATTTTTTTACAAATAACTCAATTTTCAATATATCCAACACAACATCCTCCTATTTTCCCCACAATAATAATTCAGTGAGGTGGGTTGGGCTAAAAGAGAATGACTGAGTCATCCAGTTGGCTGTCATGGCTAAAGCAGAATTTGAACTCATGGTCTCCTGCTTTCTAACCTGGTGCCTTAACCACTAGACTAAACTAACTCTGGTTTTGTGCAAATATAGATATCCAGTTCTATCAATATATGTAACCAATCTGTTGTCTTTTCTGATGGTTCTGATAGCACACAATAACCCTACTTGAATTACAAAAATCATCATTGGGGGATATTTTAGAACAAAGGAACCAAAATAAAACTCCCTTTTGGCACTGCTAATAATAATATGTGTCATTAGAAGTCCAACTGAATCCAGTAAGTTCTATCTTCACCCTGTTTCTAGGGTCTCCAACCCTACAAATCAACAACCCTACAGATCAACAACTTCAACCCCCAAAGACAAAAAGCTTACTTAGCTCAGTGCAAGCCATGATTGATGTCTGAACTCAAGCCAGCTCAAATAGAAACTATCAGCAGCAGAATTCAGTAGCTTTGGATTCCTGGTTTATAGGAATATCACCCCCAAATAGGGTCATGTTCTTCATTCTTCCATCACCACCCCCTTCCTTCCTCTGCCCAGTTATCTCTAATAAACAACAGAACACTAGGGGAACTTGTGCATGTTTATGCTTAAATTTATGGGCTGGGGTTTTGTTGGTTTTTTGTTGTTGTTGTTGTTGTTTTTTTTGGCTATAACAGCAGCTCTCAAAAGTGGTTATGATAAAATCATAAAAGAACTACAACATCACAAAGCTGTTACTAGGGACATAATGAGTCTGGCAAAATTTCTGAACCTTACTTTGGGAGGGGAAAAGACACAGGAGTCCTAGTTTCTAGGGGAAAAAAGAAAACCCGAAATAGTAACAGATTCCATCTAATGAATCCACAAAATGTGGGAGAAGATTCCATTCCTGACATCACTTTGGCCTTTACTGGCAGAGATGGAGCTCTTGGAAGATCCTTGACCAGCTGCTACATCTCTGCCTTGCTACTGTCCTCTTGCTGGCTCAATTCCTGGATTTCTACTTTGTATTATTGGTTAATTAAAGTAGCCTTCCCCAGCCTTCCAGCTGACCAGAAATGTTGGACTACAGCTTCCATAATTCCTAGCCACTTTTTTTTGGGGGGGGGGGGTAGCTGAAAGCGGTTTGCAAGAGTCCTTTCCTATGTAAGCACTAGCACTAGCACTTAGACTTATATGCTGCTTCATAGTGCTTTTATAGCCCTCTCTAAACTGCCCCCAACAATCTGGATCCTCATTTTACCCACCTTGGAAGGATGGAAGCTGAGCCAACCTTGAGCCTGGTGAGATTCGAACTGCCAAATTGCACACAGTCGGCAGTCAGCAGAAGTAGCCTGCAGTACTACATTTTAACCTGCATTCTAACCACTGCACCACCGCAGCTCTTGAGTGGATACCCTCAACCCATTTTTGTCTTTTTTTTAAAGAAGAATACTCCCATACAGGTAGTGCTCAACTTTCAACAGTTCATTTAGTGACCATTCAAAGTTATAGCAGAACTGAAACAAGTGACTTATGGCCATCACACATGATCATGTGATCAAAATTCAGATGCTTGGCAACCGGCATGAATTTATGATGGGTTGCACTGTCCCAGGGTCATCTGATCACCTTTTGCAACTTTCTGACCAGCAAGTCAATGTGGAAGCCAGATTCACTTAACAACTATGATACTCTAGTTGAAATGGCTAGATGTGGGGAGGGAAAGGGTTTACACATGCAAAGTTTTATCTAGTTTGAAATTTAAATAGTGGTGCTTGGAACAAGGAGTAAGTTGGTAAGCTATAGTTTATATCTGGGAATTGAAGTCCACATATTTTAAAGATGCCAAAGTTAAGAAACATTGTCCTAACCAAATACTTTATATTTGCTTCCACAAGGATCAAGATCAGTGAGGAACTAAAGGATCTGATTCTGAAGATGCTGGAAAAGAACCCTGAATTGAGGATAACTGTTCCTGAAATTAAAGTAAGCAATTATGAGCTTTAGTAAATAGTTGAAAATGTTGCTGCCTCTGAGCTATTCCACATCGCAGTAATTGAATAGATAGGTTAGATCTTATTTAGTATTCTTATCAGTTATGTGTTGCTAAACTAGCTTTCCCCAACCTGGTGTCTTCAAGATGTGCTAGATGGAGTGGGTTTGTCCGAAAGCTAGGGGTTTTTGGCATCAGATAAAACAATGGCTGGAAGAGATGTTAAATCAAAATATAGGTCCAAAGCCGGAACTCTTTCTATTGGATATCACAAAGGATAAATATAATAAAGGAACAATATATTTAATGTTGCATATACTAACGGCAGCGAGACTGGTCTTCGTGCAAAATTGGAAAAGTAAAGAGACACCCCCCCCCGAAGAAGAGATAATAAATAAGATATTGACTTGCGCAGAAATGGATAGGCTGACTCTAGAACTTAAAGACAAGGGTGAAACGACATATCATGGAATCTGGAATAAAATGTATCAATGGTTGGAGAGGAGGAGGAATGTCGGGATAAAGAAATATTGATAAGTCGAGAGTTGAAAAATTATTATGTTAGTATTATGTGATAGGTAGGAATTGTATTGGTATTGAAAGTAATTTTCACAGACGAAGAGATTTATGTGTCTGAATTTTGATAGACTGTACATATTTATATACCGAATATGAATTGTATTTGTTGTAAGGTAAAACTTGATGGAAATGTTGGAACCAGAAAAGTCGCACTATGTCCAATGTTTTTAACTGTATATTTAATTAAAAAAAAACATTTTTTAAATAAAGATCTGCTAGAGTAAAATTTCGTAGGGTAGAATAACTCGGAGAATTTCCAGCCACTGAGCATTTTAGGAGCTGTAGTTCAACACATCTAGAGAATATTGGGGAACAGCATATTAAACTTTGAAATGTAAGGATTTATTGTAACTCTGCAAGTGTATGTGCTACAAAAAGCCATGGCACATATGCCATCCACATACAGGTGGTCCTCGACTTATGACCACAATTGAGCCCAAAATTTCAGTTAAGTGAGCTTTTCCCCATTTTATGATCTTTCTTGCCGCAGTTGTTAAATGAATTTCTACTGTTGTAAAGTGAATCTGGCTTTCCCAATGATTTTGCTTGTCAGAAGATTGCAAAAGGTGATCACCCTGGGACACCCTGGGACACTGCAACCATCATAAATTTGAACCAGTTATCATCTGAATTTTTGATCATGTGACCACGGGGATGCTGCAACAGTCGTAAGTTTGAAAAACTGTCATAAGTCACTTTTTTCAGTGCCGTTGTAATTTCGAACGGTCACTAAATGAATGGTTATAAGTTGAGGACTACCTGTATTGCAGATCAGTGCAATTCAGTCCTAGAAACTAAGCCATGCTCTCTTCTGATTGCTTAAGATCAGCTTTCAAAATGGATTGAGTTTTAACAAAAGATCATTCGTACTGTCTTTAGAAATGCAGACAAACTGTACTTGTTACTGAACTGCTAACCTGAAATAATCATCCCATCACATTTAAAAACAAAAAAGAAGGATCTGGATTCTACTTGATAATTCTCATCATAGTTTGGCCGCTTAGAGACTAATAATGTCTTAAAACCTGAAAGCTTTGCTATGTAAGCCATTTGCTAGAACAAGAAGAATGACAATTACCACCTTATATTAACAGGTGATTTTATGTCTCTTTTGTTTTTTTTTAATCTAAGAATTGCCCTCTCTTATTTCTTTTTCCATTCTGTCCTTTCTAATAAACATCCAGTTAAATGGACTAACATAATCAAGTTCAGCCATGAATTTCTGGTTATCACCTTTAAAGTGCTCCATGGCTTAGGACCTGGTTCTCTACGGGACCGCCTGCTACCACCAATAGCCCCCCACCGGCCAGTACGCTCCCATAGAGAGGGGCTCCTCCGGGTACCGTCGGCCAAACAATGTCGACTGGCGGCCCCTAGGGGGAGAGCCTTCTCTGTGGGGGCACTACGATCTGGAACGAGCTCCCCCCGGAGATACGGAGGATCCCGGATATGTGCACCTTCCGTCGCGCGCTTAAGACTTTTTTATTTCATCAAGCTGGCCTGGCCTAAATCTTCTCCCCTTTTAAATATAAATTTTAATTTGTTTTAAATTATGGAGTATTTTAAATTCAGCCAAATTATTTAATTCGTTTTTAATCTATTTTAAATTTTTGTATTTATGTGTTTTATCTTGTGGCTGTTCACCGCCCTAAGTCCTTCGGGAGAAGGGCGGTATAGAAATTTAATAAAATAAATAAATAAATAAATAAATTTATTGTATGATTTTTGACAAGCCTGTCTTTTGTAAATTCAGATGTACCACTCTTGGAGATATATCAGAATTCTGGTTTGTTTAAAAGCAGCTTTTTCAAATAGTGGGCTATGATCCCAGAGAGATCCCAGAGCAACAAATGGAAGTTTGCAAGAGATACGTCCCTGGCTGGTTCTTTCCAAGCCTGATACAAAAGTATGCAAATGTAAAAAAACCAGCGTGACAATTCCAGCACTCTTCATGAAGTTTTGTTTTGTTTTGATGTAGGCTTTCATAGCCAGTTTCTGTTGGTAAGTACTGGGTTTCTTCAGGGCTTGGATGACATCAGATTTCCTGAAATTTCACAGACAACTGTGGCTGACATCTTGGTCTGCTTTTTTGGTTTTATTTGTAACATGTTGCCTTGCTCTTCAAAGGATGGATAACCTTGCCTGGAAGATTTTATATTCTTTTTAACCGCAGCAGTTATTTTTTAGGGCCATATCCAAATACAAGCTGGCTCCTTTCATTAATTCTACACAAAGAAAGAGTCGTCCGAAGGAGAGCTGATGAGGCATCATCCACTCTGGTTATGTTTCTCTGCAGGAACATCCATGGGTCACAAAGTATGGCAAGCACCCTCTTCCTTTAGAGGAGGACCATTGCACCATAGTAGAAGTAACTGAAGAGGAAGTGAAGAACTCAGTCAAGACAATTCCTAGTTTACCTGCTGTGGTAAGTATTAATACTGGTAGTTGGTCTATTAAAAGTTGCTTTCCTTCCTCTTTGTTTTGTACTTGATGGCATGCAGCACAGAGCTAGGTGGGTTAGTTTATCTTCTTTTTGCTCAAAGTCAGTTTGGAATACAGGTAGTCCTCAATTTACGACCACAACTGAGCCCAGAATTTATGTTCTTAAGTGAGAAATTTGTTAAGTGAGTTTTGTCCCATTTTATGACTTTTCTTGCCACAGCTGTTAAATGAATCACTGCAGTTGTTAACTTAGTAACATTGTTAAGTGAATCTGGCTTTCCCATTGCTTGTCAGAAGGGATCACGTGACCCCAGGACACTGCAATGGTCATAAGTACCCTGTTTCCCCAAAAGTAAGACCCAGCTGGAAAATAAGCCCTAGCATGATTTTTCGTAATATAAGCCCTACCCCAAAAATAAGCCCCAGTTCAGATCATCAGCCAGGCGGATGCATTTAGTACTGTATTTTCCCCAAAATAAGACCTAACTACAAAATAAGCCCTAATGTGTCTTTTGGCGCAACAATTAATATAAGACCCGGTCTTATTTTCGGGGAAACACAGTATGAACCCATTGCCAAGCATCTGAATTTTGGTCACATGATCATGGGGATCCTGCAAAGGTTGAAGAACGGTCATAAGTCACTTTTTTCAATGCTGTTGCAACTTCGTACAGTCTCTAAATGAACAGTTGGAAGTCGAGGACTACCTGTAATGTAGCTGGTTCTCCCTGATAGCCATTGTTTTTGGATAGACTAGGTTTAAACCAAGCCTTGTTTTTAATGTGAAATCGAAGGAGCAGTTATAACTTTCATTTTGAGTAATTTGAAGCAATTTCATCCAGTTTGAAGTAATTTGCAGTAGTAAAAGTCTAGGCTAAAATGATTGAGAGTGACATTATTTTTTCAGCGTTATCATTTCTGATTCTTCTCTTTCTCCATTCATCCAAGATTTTAGTGAAGGCCATGCTGAGGAAACGGTCATTTGCCAACCCGTATGAGACCCAAACGAGGCGAGAGGAACGATCTATGTCAGCTCCAGGGGATTTACTAATGTATGTGATTTTATACCTTTTCTTAATTCTTGCAATTTTCAAGCTAGACATGCCTATTTCGTCTATGTTCATAGCACAATTTATTAGCATTTGCATGTTCAAGTTAGAGATGATAAAGGAAGAAGAAATAAAGCTAAATTTGGTGCTGAAACCAAGTCCCAAATGATCGGCAACTGCATAACTTGCACTGATGATGTTATCTAGTTTGGTAATGAGACGTCTGCAAGAAAACAACCAAGCTCAGAGAATATCAAGATCCCATAGTTGAACCCGAGCTGCAAATATACTCTTCTAATCAGAACTGCATGTTAATATGGTGGAAAATAGCAACCTTCTCTTTAAAATAATGACTCATACTTCTAGGAAGGCAGACAGCCGTAGCATTAATATAACATTCTTTAGAACTGAAAAAAAGGAAATAAACCCCGTATTAGAGTTTGCTGCCATTCAGAACAAATCCCGTCCATTTGCCCTACCAACTTTTAATTAATTTTGTTGAACACCTTTCAGTCAAAAAAAAAAAAAAAAGAAAGGTAAAGACGCATCCTGTCAATTTAATTTATGGTAACTATTATTGTATTTATAAAAAATGTTTGAAATGAAAGAGATCTTCAAGTACTGAAATGATTGTTATGTGGAGGAAGCACAGGTGTGTTTTCTGCTGCTCTAGGGGCAGTGTTTCTCAAACTTGGCATTTTTAAGACATATGGACGTCAACTCCCAGAATTTTTCAGCTCACATTTCTTATATCCACATGTCTTACTAAACATTTCTCCGCAGAGCAGGGCAAGAAGCCTGGCTAAAGAGCTAAGCATCCAGGAACAGTCTAAAAAGAAAGGTTTTTTTGAAAGTGGAAGAGATTTTTCAAAGAATATTTGCCATTATTGTATTATACAGTTACTTACACAACATTATAAAGGTTCCTCATCTCCATTTCAAAGCCGAAGAGCCAGTGCTGTCCAAAGACATCTCCGTGGTCATGTGGCCGGCATGACTAAATGCCAAAAGCGCATGGAACGCTGTTACCTTCCCACAAAAGATGGCCCCTATTTTTCTACTTGCATTTTTTATGTGCTTTCAAACTGCTAGGTTGGCAGAAGCTGGGACAAGTAAAGGGAGCTCATCCCGTTAGGCGGCACTAGGGATTCGAACCACTGAACTGCCAACCTTTTGATTGACAAGCTCAGCATCTTAGCCACTGAGCCACCATGTCCCTTATATGTGAGGTCTGAAATAATAGCCCAAGTCCTGTTTCTGCTGCTCTGTGTTTATAATTTGCACTTTGGTGGTGGTGAAGAAAAGCGAGTGAAGAAAACCAAGAATAATAAAAGGATAAAAACAAATAGCTCAGTTAGTTTAATTAGGTTTCATTCTGGCAGCAGACAAGGGATTAAACCAGAGGTTCCTGTGGCTTCTGGTTTGACAAAAGAGCAAAATATGGAAGTGTGATGTGGATTTCCAAGCAGTATTAAGAGCTAAGCAAAGAAGTCTCAAGGAAGAATGAAGAGAAAATAGGAAAGTATTTTTTACTTGGAGAGAGTTATAAGCATAAGTAGCGTCCAAGAAGACACCTCCCCCCAAAAAATCTGTTTTAAAGATGCATCACCCTAAGTGATAAATAACATCCATGGATTCAGTAATGGCGGAATTATTAAAAAGAATGGATCTGTGGCACACTGGGAAAGTATTAAAGGCCTCCAAAATAGTCAAGAAGGAAGGACAACTTTCTTGGGACTACAATAGGAGGTTTGCAGAGGGATGATGGCTTTGAGGAACCATTAGAGCGATAAGTTACAGCTTTATTGTTCCGCCCAAACGTTCAAAGCAGAACGAGCTGAAAACCTTGAGTTTCCCTTGAGTAGGTAGAATTCTAATAATGTGAATAACATGAACTAAGTTTATTGTTTTCAAATCCCCAGTTGAACTTCCCTTCCTCCCCCTCCCCAATCCAGTTTGGGTTGAAGAGGCTTTGAAGTATGTGAAAATTAACATTTGTTGCTAGTTGGACGATGGATGATAGCTTTCATGTTCCTCTAACAGGAAATGAAGAGAAGAAGTAATTAGAAAAGCTTTCCAATTTCCACAATTTGTTTAATTAGACAGCATAAAAAAAGTACTCCTTAGAATTGCTTAAAGCAGTCTTTCCAGATGTATTGGATTTTAATTCACATAATTCCCTGTCAAGAATTACCACTGACACAAAAAGACTGTGCCTCTTAGGCTTAACACTATTTTAAATTTTGCATTAAGAGTTTAGACAGCTGAGGTCATTTTCTTTGATACAAGTGACAAATCAGAATTTTCCTGAAAGCCAATACCTTGTTTTCAGGATATAAAAGCAGTTTAAAATCATATTCCTTGGAGAAGAAATCAAAGAGGGGATAAGTTTTCTGTTCTGATTTATGTACTTAGCCGACTTCCTCTATGATTCGATTTCCTCACAAGCAGGTTCTATGGTATTCAAAAGGGTTCTAGCACATCTAGGATCCACATATTTTATGAAGACTAATCTCCATTATAAGTAAAATTTCCCTTTTAGATTCCCAACCCTGCTAAATTAACAATGAATGGAATTTGCAGCCCTCTGATCAGAGGTGGGTTTCAGCAGGTTCTGACCAGTTCTGGAGAACCGGTAGCAGAAATTTTGAGTAGTTCAGAGAACCGGTAGTAAAAATTCGGACTGGCCCCGCCCCCATCTATTTTCTGCCTCCCAAGTCCCAGCTGATCAGGAGGAAATGGGGATTTTGCAGTAACCTTCCCCTGGATTGGGGAGGGAATGGAGATTTTACAGTTTCCTTCCCCTGGATTGGGGTGGAAATGGAGATTTTACAGTATCCTTCCCCTGCCACGCCCACCAACTCATGCCACGCTCACCACCCACAGAACTGGTAGTAAAAAATTTTGAAACCCACCACTGCTTCTGATGTTGTTGAACTACAGTTCCAAGCAAACTCATCCAGCATTATCAATGGTGAGGAGTGCTGGGAATTGTAGTTTAGCAACAGCTGGAGTTTTATATACTGTATTTCCTACCTACTTGGCTTGATATTTTGTAATAACCAGCCTAATTGGTGCTTCTTCAGTAAATCATGGTTTAAATAATCCTGGCTTATTTTATAAGAAATGCAACTACTGCTGCTAATCCTGGAAACTGCATTTACCCATCATAATGAATAAGCCCTCCAAAACTCACAGGGTTCTAAGTTACGGCTAAAGTGTTAGTCTAGGTCTGGAGCATGAAAAGCCAAGTTCTAATCCACCTTCAGCCATGAACGCTTTGGGGTCTCCACTTTCAAGCCAACCTACCTTAGAATGTGATTGTTGTGGAAGAATAGGAGTAATATACACTACTTTGAGTGTCTGAAAGAAAGAGGGAATATAAATCAGTCAAGCCGGTGAATAAAATAAATCAACCTCAACCAGTGGCAAGCAGCAAATTTCATGAATTAATTTTGCCTCTTTGAAGGAATTATGTTTTGATCTTCCCATTATTCCAAAGTGCTATCTAAATTCTAAAGGTGCTTTTTCAAAAAGGCAACTGGGCTTTGTTTTTCCTTGAAGACATTTTGCTTCTCATCCAAGAAGCTTCTTCAGTTCTGACTGACTGGTGGGGAATGGAAGGATTTATAATCAATTCTCTTTAAGGAAAAACAAAGTCCAGCTGCCTTTTGAATAAGCACCTTTGGGACAACTATGACCTGAATGACTGAGAATCTCCATACATGTTTATCTAAACTCTAGACTCCATCCCTCATTCCCATGAAAATTTTTGTTTTGTTTTGTTTGGCTCTGCTGCATTTTGACATCCAGATTTCTTGCATGCAGTCTCATTATTTGATTGTTTTGTCCCCTTCTCTTTCGGTTTGCTCTTTGCTTCCAGGCACGGTTTTCAGTTAAGCCCCTCTGTGTATTTGCATCCAGCTTTAAGGTAACTTCATATCTGTGTTCCTCCCACCTGTGCAATGAAATCCTTTATCCCACCCACCCCCATCCCTCCCTCCAGTGATTTGTGGTGCTATATGTGTTGTAACATGTTTCTTACTTCTAGAGCTGAGTGAGCATGTGATTCCCCATGTGGCCTTTAATAGGCATTTACAAGTGCCCTCCATTGTCATTTTCCTTTTGTTTTCATCGTCCTTTTTTTCCCCTTCTTTCTTAAAAAAAAAACAAACACTTTGGCACCCGGGGTGGGTTTCTACCGGTTCACCCCGGCTCCGCCCACCCACCCACCCAGACGTCATCAAAAACGCTCTGCACAAAAGCGCCATGTGCTCGCAAAGCAAGCGCATGCACCTGCACACTACCGATAGTGAACCAGTAGTGCCAGGATTTGAATCCCATCTCTGTTTGGCACCATTGATCAGTGGGACTTGCATTTCTGTTCCTATGATCTAAAAGCAGTGCTTCTCACTTTGACACTCTTAAGATATGTGGGCTTCGACTCCCAGAATTCCCCAAACAGCACTCTGGGAGTTGAAGTCCACATATTTTAAGATTGCCAAGGTTGTGAAACGCTGCTCCAGAGCTAGACAGGAGGTGCCATGGAGCTTATTCTACCAAGAACAGCACACAATGAAGGAGACGCCGTGGGTGCTTAAAGATCCCTTCTTTTGGACAGGCTGTCCAATCCAAGACTGGCTTTAAAAGAAGCCTAAGAAGGCAGAATGTGGTCTTTGAATAAGGCCACAGTTGTCACCTAGACAGCAATAGTGGATAGCTCACAGTCCCTCCTTGCTCATAGAATCATGGGGCTGGAAGAGACCTTGGAGGTCTTCTAGTCCAGTGGTCACCAACCGGTGGTCTGTGGACCACAGGTGGTCCACGAGAAAATTTTGGTGGTCCGCAGAAAAATTATTTGCATTTTTTATATTGCACTAAATATTACTTATCTTTTTTTAAAAAAATCATATTGGTGGTCTGCGGGATTTAAAATTATGAATGTAGTGGTCCCTGAGGTCTGAAAGGTTGGTGACCCCTATTTTAGTCCAACCATCCTGCCCAAGACTGAAATCTTTATATCATCCCAGACAAATGAATGTCCAATCTTTTCTTGAAAACCTCCGGCAATGGAACACTCACCACTCTGGGAGGCAATCTGCTCCGTTGCTAGTTGCTCTCATTGTCAGGAAATTTCTCTAGTTCCAGGTAGGATCTCTCTTTTAATGAGCTTCCACCTGTTGCTTCTTGTCCTGACCTCAGGTGCTTTGGAGAATAAGTCAACCCTCTAATCTCTATGACTGCCCCTCTAGTACTGGAAGACAAGTATCATGTCACACTTAATCCTTCTCTTCATTGGGCTAGATATAACTAGTTCCCTTAATCATTCACTATACAGTTTAATCTCCAGATCCCTTCCCATCTTTCTTCTCTGCACACTTTCTAGGGTTTCAGCATCTTTTTTGAATTGTGACAACCAAAACTTCTAAGTGTGGTCTCACCAAGACAGTATATAGTAATACTTCACATGATCTTGATGCTATCCCTCTGTTGATGCAGTTTAGGACTGCACTGGCTTTTTTGGCAGTTGCAACACACTTCTGGCTCATATGTAAGTGGTGGACCACAAGGACTCCTAGAACTCTCTTACAGTTATTATTGTTCAGCCAGGTAACGCCTATTCTTTACCTGGCCATTTGGTTTTTCCTGCTTAAGCACAGGACCTTATTTTTCTCACCACTGAACTACATCTTATTGAATAGAATCCATTTCTCTAGTCTGTGAAGATCCTTCTGGATCTTGAGTCTATCTTCCAAAATGTTAGTAATTCCTTCCAGCTCGGCATTATCTGCAAATTTGATGAGTTCCCCCTCTATCCCCTCATCTAGATCATTTATGAAGATGTTGTAGAGCACTGGGCCCAAGGCAGAAGTTTGAGATACCCTACTGCATGCTTCTTTCCATATAAATGTTGTTCTTTTGACTACATGCTCAGCTACAGTACATGCTGAGTATGGTTGGTCAGCCAATTGCAAATCCATTTGGTGTCTATCCCACATGTTCTGTTTTACTAAGAAGTAAGCAGCAGTCTATTTTGTCACACGACTTTCTGATGTCCAAATATACTATATTCACAGCATTTCCTTAATCACTAATTTAGTCACTTTATCAACAAAGTTAATAAGGTTTGTTTGGCACAATTGATTTTTAACAAACCCACGCTGGCTTCTAGTAACTGCTTTGTTCATTTCTAGGTACTCATGAATCTACTGCTTGATTATCTTTTCTAGTATTTTCCAGGTATTGATGTCAAGCTGATTGGTTCCTCTTTTTTCCCCTTTTTTGAAAATTGGAACTACTTCAGCTATTTTTTAGTCCTCTGACACTTCTCCCCATACTCCAGGAGCTTTAAAAGATTTTGTTCAGTGGTTTCAAGATAACATCTGCCAGCTTCTTCAGAATCCTGGGTTATAACCAGTGGTGGGATTCAAATAATTTTAACAACCGGTTCTCTGCCTAATGGTTTCTTCCAACAACCAGTTCACCAAACTGCTCAGAAAATTAACAACCGGTTCTCCCAAAGTGGTGCGAACTAGCTGAATCCCACCACTGGTTATAACCCATCTGGTCCTAGAGATTTGTTCCCATCTAAAGTGGAAAGGTGTTTTCTTAGTAATTTTTCTTTTTCTTTTTGCCTGTTTTGTCCTTTCTGTCTCCCACCATGCTGTTTGTGATGAGTTGGACTATTTTTTGTGTGTGTGTGTGTGTGAAGACAGATGCAAAGAAAGAATTAGACAGTTCGGCTTTCTCCCTGCTGCCCATCACCATCTTGCCAGGTTCTCCCATTAGTGGACCTATCGTTTCCCAGTCCTTCTTAATATTCCTTACTGATTGAAAGAAACCATTTCTGTTAATCTTGCAGATTCAACCTATCTGCTGATATTCTGTTCTAGTTATGAGCCCCTCTTTCCATTTTTTTATACATCCTTTTTGTCCCTCAGTTTGTCAGTGAGCTCTTTATGCAACCATGCTGGTTTCGTCTGGGGCCTCTTTTTTCCTTTCTCTGTGTTTGATTGAGGTTTAGTAATCTCATTTCCATAGTTTCCCAAGCATCTTAAGTTGTTTTTTCCCTTTAGGATTTCCATCCATGGAATCCTTCCTTATTTCTGCTTTAGTTTGTTGAAATCAGCTCTCTTGCAGTCTAGAACCGTAGTCTGACTTTTTTCCAATTGCCTGTACCTGCGTTATGTTGAATTCTAGTATGGCATGGTCACTCTAGGACCCTTTGAGCTCTGCTCGTTTGAGTTGCATTTCATTTCGGGTGAAATAATCATAATTGCTTGCACCTCTACCCTTAACTTACTACTTGCAAAGTTTATGCAAATTGACAGCTGTTTAAACATGCATATTTTATGCAAACTGGCAGCAGATACTTTTTTAAGGCAGTGATGGGCTTTTCTGCGCTCCAGACTCGATTGCAGAAAAAATGACTTCAGCAACAGAGTGGTCAATGCCTGGAATGCACTACCTGACTCTGTGATTTCATCCCAAAACCCCCAAAATTTAACCTAAGACTGTCCACCGTGGACCTCACCCCATTCCTAAGAGGTCTGTAAGGGACGTGCATAAGCGCACCAGCGTGCCTACCATCCCTGTCCTAATGTTCCCTTTAATTGTATTCATTTTATATATTCAATTCATGCTTATACTTATATATATTATCTAATACATACTAATAATTAATAATTAAAATAATTAATAAATTAAATAAATAAATAAACTAAATAAACTCTCTTCCACATATCTCTTGGATTATCCAAGCAGACCAAACAATCTGTTCTCAATGATGCCCTGGGAGCTCTGAAAAAAACTTTTTAACTATGGTGGTGGTGGTAAAAGATATCCCTCTATCTACATGTGAGCTGCATTCACTACCAAACCTAGTAAGACTCAGCCAACCTCCCAATACATAGTATGGCTAGTATGCACACATAGTAGGATGGGATAAATAGAAGAAGGTCATCCGGATGGATTAATCAAAACCATTGCAACATCCTGCTCTAGTTTACATTGTGTCTACCTTTTTCTTTGTCTTGCCTTTGCAGTATAGTAGCTAAAGGTAAATAAGATGTGCTTCTACTTTTGTCTAGGGCTGCCCAACAAACTGCCAATGCTTTGCTGGGATTTTGGTATCTATATGCATACTAATATATCTTGCATATTAACACATTTTAAGCAAACAAAAAAAAACCATTAGCCCAAGAAGAAGAAAAAACAGGGACGATCTAGAAGATCTAGAAGACTAGAATCTAGTCTAAATCTAGAAGACTAGAAGACCTAACTCTATTCTGATTGATTGATTGATTGATTGATCTGTTTAGGAGCCATGATGGTGCAGTAGTTAGAATGCAGTATTGTTAACTCTGCTCACAACCTGGATTTCGATCCTGACCAGCTCAAGATTGACCCTGCCCCCCTACCCTCCTTCTGAAGTTGGTAAAATGAGGACCTAGATTGTTGGGGACGATATGCTGATTCTGTAAACCGCTTAGAGAGGGCACTATGGAGCAGTATATAAGTCTTAAAGTGCTATTGCTATCTACAAGATACAGTGTGAGCACTGTAACAGCCACTATATATAGAACAGAGATAGGCAAGATTAGCAGAGCGCACCCATGAACATCAACCAACAGTCAGAAGACATGATGAAAACTCCTTAATCTCATATCACATGAAAGCCACCATTGGCCCTAAAACCAGGGGTGAAATCCAGCAGGTTCTGACAGGTTCTGGAGAACTGGTAGTGGAAATTTTGAGTACTTTGGAGAACTGGCAAATACCACCTCTGGCTGGCCCCAGAGTGGGGTGGGAATGGAGTTTTTGCAATATCCTTCATCCAGAAGTGGGGAGGGAATGGGGATTTTGCAGTATCCTTCCCCTGGAGTGGGGTGGGAATGGTGATTTTGCAGTATCCTTCCCCTGCCATGCCCACCAAGCCACACCACGCCCACCAAGCCAAGCCCACAGAACAGGTAGTAAAAAAAATTGGATTTCCCCACTGCCTAAAACCCAATTTCAAACCTACTAAAACGAGCAAGCTGAAGAGGTGATAGATGAGACATCCATCCTGGAATTGTGACTGTTAATGCTGTGTCTCACAGGTTGCTTAGCTGGTATGCAATTAGGTAACACTTTTCTGATCTTTCCGTCTGAGTCTGTACATTATGTAGGAAAGCTGATGGTCCTGTGTTTACTTGTTATCAACCAAGTAAACTGGTTTACTGCTTCATCATTCTCTAACTACATGAGAGCACATTCCAGGCTTGTCAGCTATCTGGTGCAAAGCTATCTAGGTTTATCACTCTGGCTAGAGAAAGTGTTTAATAGAAATCAGTTCTTTCCTCCTATATTTCCTAGAAATGTAATGAGGAGCTATGCAAGAAGGAAAGGGCCAATTAAGCCAGCAACTTGAAAGCCCAGAAAAATTAAAATAAAACTTATATGCCATGGTTTTTTCAAGATAGACTCCTTCTGCAAATGGAGGTTCTCATTATAGCTGACCCATTAAGCAACTGTTAATGGATCACTTGCTATCCTTATTTTCCATTCTCTTTTAAAAGCCATTGATGGCATCAAGGTGTTACTATACTGCCAAGTCTATCAAGCTCACTATTTTAATTCTGGGTGTGTTTTCACAACAACTTGACTTGGTCTGATAAAAATTGAGCAGCTGTATTTTCATGGAATGTTGCTGAACATACTTGGCATTTGTCATTATTAATTTTGTTTGTGTGTGTGGCTTGCTGTGTTGTTTGAATCCAAATCAGTTGACAACTTTATGGTTCAGCACATTATGCGAGTCCAAAAAATTAATTATTTTGGTAACTGAATTAAATGTGTTATGTAAATACAGCAGGTTAAAACTCCTCAGATATTTTTGGCACAGCTGTTTTTCCTATATGCAGAGAGGTCTGAGACTGAACATTAAGCCCACTGGATCCAAAGTATATGTGCCACTGTTGAACATATCAGTAAAGATCCTCTTGGTTTCAGATAACATTCTTTTCTGCACTTGTCAACACATGCTAAAAATTACAAAAATGTAATTTTTGTTTGTGGAACCAGACAGTTTTTCTCAACTTTAAGATGTGTTTGTTTTCAACTCCCACAATTCCTCAGCCAGCAATACAGGTAGTCCTTGACTTACGACCACAATTGAGCCCAGAATTCATGTTGCTGAGAAATGTGTTAAGTGAGTTTTGCCCCATTTTATGACTTTTCTTACCACCTTTGTTAAGTGAATCAGTGCAGTGGTTAAGTTAGTAACACAGTTGATAAGTGAATATGGATTCCTCCATTGACTTTGCTCGTCAGAAAGTCACAAAAACGGATCAAATGACCTGGGGACACTGCAGCCGTCATAAATATGAGTCAGATGCCAAGCTTCTGAATTTTGATCACGTGACCATGGGGGCGCTGCAATGGTCATAAGTGCGAAAAACAATCATAAGTCACCTTTCTCAGTGCCGTTGCAACTTTGAACAGTCACTAAATGGACTGTTGTAAGTCGAGGACTACCTGGAACGTAGGTGCTTCTGCAGTTACCCTCTTGTATGAAGCAAATAACTTACAACAGGGATTGCTTCTTGATCTTGTGATGAAATATTCTTCTTCTTGATGATGTGTAGAAACCAAGGAAGCCGGGAAGGGCTTAAAGACCCAGAACTGCCCGATGTGAATGAAGATGAGACAACCTCTTGAAACCCCTCGAATCACACTGACTGATCATCCAGCTAGAGCTGCTGCTGTAACTATTGTAATCGGTGGTGTTGTCTTGCCCGCCATGCTGTTCTCATCAACTGGGGTTTGTGATCTGTGGAAGAGAAAGAAGACATAAATATAACTAAGCTAAGAACTAAAGCAGCAAACCTCAACCCAAGAAACGGTACACCGAATAGCTAATTCTTCATACAACCTGCTGCCTGCATTTTTTTTTTCACGATATAAGACATTTTGATGTTGTAAACTTGATATGTGCGTCTTCCGGCTGTGTTTCAATGTTGTGGTAATGTGTTTGGTCAATTTTGCTGAATGTTCCTTTGCTAGGAGCTGCTCGGTTAAAAGTTCTACTCCAGCTCTAATTTAGGCATGAGCTATTAAGCAATCGGATTGCAAGCCCAGGTTGTTATTCAACACATTAGAAACCTTTTCACCTCTCTAACTGCTGGCTCAAGGGTGCCGTAACTTTGGCTTGTTTTGAAATGCAACACAACAATACAGTAGCCCTGTGGTAAGTATTCAACTTGTTTTGCTTCGGCATGTTGCTTAAGTTGTGCATGGCTGTATAGGTTGGAACATGCCCAGTGAGGTTGCTAAAAACTAGAAAGGCTTCTGGATTTCTCCTCCTTTAGATATTTCCCCCAATTCTGAATTGTCTGCTCATTTCCAGAAAGACATTCCAAATTAAGAGAGCTAACATGACAGTTTCCCCTGGTCTTCTGCCTTCCTTCCTTTTTGCACATGGAAAAGGGCTAAAGCTCAATGGGAGGACATAGTTTTCTGTATGCTTTTGGGTCCAATTCCTGGATCCATTTTATGGGACTGAGAAGGCCTCTTCTGTGAGATGATGAATGCTCATGCTGGCCAGAACTGACAGTACTCTGCCAGATGAATCATGGTTTGACTTCACATAAGTTAGCATCATATGTTCCTTCCAAATGATATCCAAAAAAGCAAATCTGACATTATGTAAGTAGTGGTTATGCCATGTGAGGATTCTGCTCCTAGACGACAGCTCTTTATTCCATATTCTCATAGAACTGGGTATGTTTGGATTATTGAGCTAATTTATTTCTGCGGCAGCCACTGCAAAGGAGAAACTTGCAAAATTTCAATTTTCAAGTATGAGATAACTTGGAGCTCTGGGGATTGAGGAAAAGGGTGGCTTTGTTTTTCCCATTTATTCCTGATTCTTCTTACCTCCCTCCATCTGAACTGAAAGCTCTTATGATAGGTTTCACTGGCTGTCCTGTCAGTAAACTTCATCTTCATCTTTCTAGTCTAAATATTTAGAAGAAATTGTAGAGGGAAAAATGGTGCATGGGCCATAAGTTTATTTTGTGGAATTGTTTATCAGCATACAGGAGCCTCATCACATAACATCATACAAAAAGAATTTTGATTCAGTCATCCATGTAATCAGGATCAAAATTAATGGGATGTGGAGGGAGCTGCACCACTGTACGGGTACATCTGTTCTAGTGGCATAATTAATTGTAGAAATGCTCATTAAACCAGATTCGTTCATTCCTGTGGGTTGAAATAAACACACAGGATATACAGTACATATAACATGCCATTGCAAAGTGTCAAATTTAATAACTGGAATGCGTTTCTCAAAAGTTTGCCTACAGCTATGAATCTCAAGGTAGAAAACATTTCCAAGGCCATTTTCATGTCAGAGGGCCTGTCCTTTCAGCAGATAGTTGCCTTTCTGCCTTGATTTGTATAGTATCAAAGAATCTGTCACTGATTTTAGATTGAGCTGCCAAAAGACACAATGAGAGCCAAATGTGAGAAAGGATAACACTTCCCTCATCCAGGATACATTTACAGTATAGCAAACCCTTTTAGTTCCCATCATAATTTTATTTCAGAATGACAGAATAACAGAGTTGGAAGGGACCTTGGAGCTCTTCTACTCTGACACCCTGCTCAGGCAGGAAACTCTATCATTTCAGACAAATGGTTGTCCAGTCGTTCCTGCAACAATTTTAGTCCATCACTTGATTTAAGAGCAAACTTTTGCATTCTGCATTGTAAGTCTATAAACACACTTACTCAGAATCAGACGCATTAGGACTATAGTATGCAGGGAAATAAGTGGTGAGGAATTTCATTCTCTACTGATTAACAGGATGTTGTACCTGGATTCTACCACAGGGATGAGCAACCTGCACTGGTGTTTAAATTCTCATTTGAATTTAATATAATAATCTGGGCTGCATTCATACCAAGTTGATTGAGACTAAAGGGGACTCTTGTTGGGATAGAACTAAAAATGATGATGCCACTAATTCTTTCACTTTTTCACATCTCCACCCCCAAATCTCTTGTTTTACACCCAATTTTCTCACTCTTCCTCCTTATATTCAAATGGGGAGGAATTTATTACCTAACCAGCATCCAAACTGACTGTTTACAAAGAGAATTTGAACTTCTGAACAAGGGCTTTATGAAATTATGACAAAGACTACATGTGACATAAGGGCTATTGGTTGCCCAGACTATTCTACTAAGTCTGGGATTGTTTTCTCAGATGCGTTTAACCTGGTAACCAAGTTAATCCATTTTGAGGTTTGTACAGCTCATGAATTATGACCTAACAGAACAGACTGGGTTTTATTAAAAAATAAACAAACTTCAGCATATTGTGTGAATGCACCATTAGATTTAATTAACTAGGTTACATGTACATGTGAACACAGCTCAGCATTTTTTGTTACGTTTTCCTGTACAAAGCAAAAAACATTGAAGACCCTCCAAAACACTTAAATTGCTTCTTTATAATTCTGCCAATCTAATATCTCTCTGAGATTTACACTCAACATATCACAGCTTTTACAATGATAAACTTAAAGCTTGGGTATATTTAGAATTGGCCTCCAAATGGTAAGAAAATAATGGCAGGGACTTACAAAAAGGAGAGCAGATTCTGACCTGTTTTTGGGGCATGTGCTTCAATGTGTAGAAATCCAGGTCATTTTGAGATAATCCTATTTTTATATGTATGACTGATGCTTAAATTAAGGCATGGAAAGATGGCCTTTGTGTGACTTGTCTTCATTTATAAGTCTGTCTCATATTCTCATCAGCAAATTCAGAATTTTTTTCCATTATGTTTAATATTTTAAGGCATTATGATAGACATTTGGGTCTGTGTACGTAGCTAAGAAAAGCATGACAAAATTTGGAGATGTTCAAAAACCAAGTATTTCTATAATCCCACATATTTGTCTAGCAACTATGGTTAATTTGGTAAAAAACGTAATTTCAAAATGATGTCTTCGGGTACCCCTGTAAAAAAAAAATCACATGTTCCCAAAATGTATTCCATTATTATGTAAATTTTATGAAGCAGTTGCAATCCTTTCTCTTCCCCTCCCACATTAAAGTTGATTTTAACAGTTATTCAAACCCATAGCAAATGATTTGATTTTCAGGATCCTGGGACACATACCCGTATTTTTCAGACTATAAGACGCACTGGCGTATAAGATGTACCTTAGTTTTGGGGGAGGAAAATAAGAAAAGAGCTGATGGGGGGTGGATGGGTCTCCCATAATATCCCCAATCAGCTGTTCCCAGAGATGAATTTCAGTAACAGGTTCGTTGGTTATGAGCTCTACACCTTGCTTTTTTCCCAGCCTCTACAACCTCAGTTTCAGAGGCTTTTTTCAGCCTCTGAAACCTCCGTTTCAGAGGCTGGGCGGGGCTACATTCGGTGTATAAGGCGCACCCAAATTTTCACCCTCTTTTAAGGGGGGAAAGGTGCGTCTTATACTCTGAAAAATACGGTATATTCGCAAATCATTTGATTTTCCTCTGTTTCTCATTTGCAAGCTACCAAAACATTGACTTTGAATTCTATTCAACTTTCTATTTCTGCAGTACCTGTGTAACAGCCTTCCTCCGTTTGTTGTCTTCTGAATGGGCTACACTTCAACTTTCTAGAAGACCAGAGGGGAAAAATGTTCTCATCTTTGTAACAGAGCATTTAGGAAACCACAAAACTGTCAGTTGGGGGTGTGTTGTGTACAAAGGTCTTCAGCTGGTTATTAAATGGCATGTTTGTGAGCACTTGGATAAGAATGCCACAATTTACAGGATCTTGCATGGTTTGTAACCTATCAGTTCTGCCAAACTAAACTTACCTCTTTTTTTTTTTTTTTGACAGAGCTGATCAGAATACCGTAAACCAGTCTTCCTCATTTTCAGCAACTTTAAGATGTGTGGATTTCAATTCCCAGAATTCTCCAGCGAGTACATCTTGGCTGGAGACTTCTGGGAATTGAAGTCCACATGTCCTAAAATAGCAGAGGTTGAAAAACACTGTTGTAGATACATGGTACTTGGAGAAAATCAAGTTTTCTATAGTCTATCATGATAATCTCCGTAATAAAATGGTAACATACTGGCTGGATGATACTACTGTTAGGTGAACTCCCAGTTAGCTGAATGACCATATCCAAACACTGCTCATTAATAACTCCACTTCAGCCTGGAAAGAAGTATTGTGTCAAATGCCCCAGGGCTGTGTTTGGGTCGTGGGTTCAGCACAGTTACCATAATTTAATTGAAGGACTTGGAGGGACATATCAAGTTTGCAAATGATACATTGATAGGAGGGGAAGTTGTTACTTTACAAGTATTCCTCGCTTAGCAACCATAATTGGGACTGGCAGTTGCATTGCTAAGCATTACAGTCACTAAGCAGACAATCGTGACTGCAATGGACTTATGTCACTTCCCATTTGGTCATTAAGCAAGTCACTTCAGTCATTTAACAAATTATCACTGCAATATGCAATTTTACTTTCGCGTCCTCCATTAATTCTGTTTGTCACAAGCCAGTCGGGAAGCAGACAAATGGCGATCACATGACCCCAGGAACTGTGACAGTCAAAATGCGAGGATTGGTCATAAAGCTGTTTTTTTTTTTTTTTACTCAATATTAATTTTGAATGGTTACTAAACAAGGCAGTTGGTTAGCAAGGACTAGCTCTAAAGTAGAAAGAAGAATTCAAAAAGAACTAGACCGGATTGAAGAGTGAATTGAAATAAATAGGATGGAACTTATTAGGGATAAACGTAAAGTACTGCCTCTGGACAGGAAAAATTAGGGCAAAATATAGCTTGGAGGAGACCTGGCTTGGCAATAGTACATGTGAACAAGATCTAAGTGTTCTTATTTGACCAGAAGTTAAATGTGAATCAGGAGTGTAATGCAGCTGTAAAAGGCAAATGCTATGTTGGGGTACTTTCACAGGAACACAGAGTCTAGTTAATGGGAAATAATACCTCCATTTATCTGCTGTGGTCACATTCCATTTGGCATATTATGCCCATTTCTGGGCATCACAATTCAAAAGAGACAGTGACAAATTAAGTTCAGCGGAGGGCTGCCAATATGATGAAGGATTTAGAACCAAGCCCTCAGAGGAACAGCTGAAGAATCTCTCTGTTCAGCTTGCAAAAGAGACAACTGAAGGAAGATTTGAAGAAGCAGTCTTCAAGTATTTGAAAGGTTGACACATAAAAGAGGAAGTGGATTTATTCCGTACAGACTGAGAGAGCAGGACTAGAACTAACAGCTGTCAGAAAGAACATCCTGACTATACTAGCCGTCAGCCATTGGAAAAAGCTCCCACATGACGGAGCTTTCCTATGGAGATCTTTCAAACAGAGGCTAAATGATTAGCTGTCAGAGATGCATTAGTGGACCACTCGCTAGATTGGACTAGATGACCTCTCAAGTCCCTTCCAGACTAACATTTCCGAAATTCCGTAATTTGTGGACATCATAGCCATTGTTGAAGTCTATATACTGTAATTTGGAGGGCAGCTTATAGTGAGATACTTACTTATAAAAATGTGTGTGTCATCTATCCATGGAGATTCTCAATCATCCAGGTTATGGTTGTCCCAAAGGTGCTTTTTCAAAGTGTGTGTCACCTATTCATTGGATTCTAGGTCTCTCTCTCTCTCTCCCTCCTCCCTCCCTTGCTCTCTCTTTGTGTGTATGTACCTTCAAATTAGTCTTAGCTGTTGGTGACTACATTTTTCATTGTTTTCAGACATGGTTTGCCATTGTTTTCTTCCCAAGAGGGAGAAAGAGAATGACTGGCCCAAGTCATCTAGTTGACTTTATGCCTAAAGCAGGACTAGAACACACAGTCTTTCAAAATTTGATCCCTTAATCACTACACCTAAAATCTATAAAATCTAATAAAAGGCCACATTTCTACTCTGTGCTGTCTATAACTATTTTCCATTCTGACGATCCCATTATTATTATTATTATTATTATTATTATTATTATTTATTCAATTTATATACCGCCCTTCTCCTGGTGGACTCAGGGCGGTGCACAGCCAAAACTAAAATACATAACAATACAAAATTTAAAATTAATTAAAAGAATTATATACTTTGGCCCGAATTAAAACAGTGCGAATTAAAACCCATTAACAAATTAAAACTAAACAATTAATACCCATTAAAAACTAAAAAAGATTGATCTTGGATAGGGTAGAATACTCCAAAGCAATAGTGTTGCTGTTGAGAAGGCCATTCTGGGGAGGGCTGCCTTCTTGATTTCTCAAAGGGAAGGTACCTGTAGCTCCCCCTTTCTATTGGATTGTATCTGGAATGGGATAGATCACTCTTTCATAGGATTCCACCTGGTACAGGTGGTCCTGAAGGTAATAAAGGGCCAAACCACATAAGTAATCACCCACACTTTGAACTGGGCCCAGAAGCAGACTAGCAAGCAATGTGGTCCCTTCAAATCAGGGTTTTTGTTCTGTTACACTGGTTGATATCAGTCTGTTGGTGGGCAGCTTCTGAGTTATATTTAAAGGTGACTCTTTGAAGAGTGAATTCCAACAGTTTGAGTGTGAGATGATACAGACATGGCTTATTATTTTCAGTATCAGGAAAAGTCCCAACTAGCAAAAACAGACGAAGGCCAGCCTGGCCAATGCCTTTACTGTCTGCTGTAGCAGGAGCCACAAGTTCAAGAATTCCTAAATTGTGTATCTATTCTTTGAAGAACAATTAATGGAGCATCCATGGATTCCGAAACATTTGTAACAACAGTAACTCTACTTTGCTAGGGTTACATTTGATTCTGTTCCCCTTCATTCAAGCCCCATAGAATACTGGATCTGGAGGGATTACTTTGCCCATCCAACTCAAAGTTACTATGAGCAATTTTGCCTGCAAAGTTGTCTGATAATCTGCCCACGATAGCTGGTGGGAGGACTTTCAAGGCCCACAGCCCTTGAAGAGATCTAAACAATGCTGGCACTACACAGTACATGGAAATAGCATTGCTTCACCATGGTTACCGATACAAGCAAACCTCAAGCAAGAGCTCGTACTTGCATTCAGGTCATCCTCATTTCTTGTCTTTCACTAGCATCTCTGATACTACTGTATCCCCTAATGCACTTCATTTTTCACTGCTTCTCATGGAGCTCATGAGTATCCCTAGACTGATAAATAGTCTGGGAGAAACTACTTTGGAGCAGTCTATCAAACATCTTTGTGGTCTCAACATTCTAAAGCCCAACTAGGCAAGCAAACATCCAATGCCTGTCAATCTCTGGGAAACCCACATACCCCCAGTCAGTTATATCTATAAGGTACTTAGGACAGACCATCTTGAGATCATTATTTGCATTATTGAGATGTACGGTAGTGGCCAAAATTGTGGAAACCTTTTGGGAAAAGTGTATTTTTGAGGTTTGATGGCTAATAACACCACTTTTCTTTTTTCTTTTCTTTCTTTTTTTGGGGGGGGAGTTTCAAGATAATCATATTCCACTACTGGAATGGCCTGGGAATAGCCCAGACCTTAATCCAGTTGAAAATCTATGGCGCCGACTAAAGAAACTTGTTAGTCAGAAGCGACCTAGCAATAAAACCCAGTTAATAGAAGCAATCATTCAATCTTGGTTTCACATTAGAACAGCTTCAGCTGCATTCAATTATTCAATTATTTCGAGCTGTCTTCAATACCCGTTCTCAGACTCTGCTTCATCAATATGTTCCAGCTCCAATTTTTGTTCATTCCAATCCTCCACCACCCTCCTCTCCAACTTCTCCAGTAAACTCAATCCCAAATGATCCATCTTTGTACGCACCAGTTGTTCCTGGATCTTTCATCATGCCATGGAACTGGGTTCCTATTCCACCATCTCCTGGAAGTGAAGATAGTTGGAGCCCACTGCCAGTCATGGCTTGTGAACCACTATTAACTACTCAGGATTTCTGAACTTCACTCTTGCCTATACAACTCACTCCCACCTGGTTGGTAAAAATGTTGACTCCACAAGAGGAAAGGCTTTCAAAAGCCCTTCAGAGGTTTCCAATATAGTATAACAGCAAGCCCCAGGAATGCTCAG